TTAAGCAATGAACCTTAGCCATGAAGCCAATTTATGTATTGCCTTCCAACCATATTATGCTAGATTACTCCCAGTGGGAGGAAGCAAAATGGAGATAAGAGAGATGATGGACAAGAAGGGGTATTAAAAAAATTCCCGGTAGCACCATGATCGAGTTAAACAATGAAATTTATGAATTTGTTGCCGGAGATAAATCACATTGTCAATGTAAGGAAATATATGAGATGGTGGATGAGATGGGAAGGGAGATGAAGAAGGCTGGTTATATTCCGAGTACAACGGAGGTGATGCTTGATATTCATGAAGAAGACAAGGAAGATGCTTTAAATAGGCATAGTGAGAAGCTGGCTATAGCTTTTGCCCTGTTAAATACACTGCCTGGGACTTCTATTAGGATTGTAAAAAATTTGCGAGTGTGTGGAGATTGTCATTCAGCCACAAAATTTATTTCAAAGATTTACAACCGGGAGATAATCGTAAGAGATCGCAACAGGTTTCACCATTTCAAGGATGGTTTTTGCTCTTGTGGAGATTTCTGGTGACAAACTAATTATTCTTTGTACACTGGAATAACAGTTTTCTTGGTTGGGTCTAAACCGGACAAACCACTGACTGGCCATTTATTGCCCTCTTCTGCTCTGTGTGTTGCAACATATACAGATCCATTCCCTTCTATCCTGTCAGAGACTTTGACAGCTCAGAGGAGAGCAAAACCTTTTTGCTACCAAATTTTAATCCACCCAGACACTGAACAATAATAGATGATGTGAAAGACTATAGAGGAAAGATATTTGTGGAGTGGGCTCTGCTTGCAAAGAATTCATCAGTCAATCATCACAATTATGTATCCCTTGCGTCATGAAGAAGCACTAAAATTGATTTGGTCTTGGCAGGGAAAATATCTTTTATCCATATCAGTTAGCTAATTTAGGTCACCGTGAACGGGTAATTAATGCGCTGCTTTGTTGTAACATGCTATTAGGCTATGTTGATTTTAAGTATATTTGATAAAGGAATGCTACCGGAATGGATGCTTTGTTTCGTGATTAGTGAATTTGGTTGGTTGAGATGTTGCCCTTCCAGGATATACATGTGAGAAGCAGGAGCAAGCTGAAAGCTAAGCAAGCTGAAAGCTAATCAAGCAGAAAGTTTGATTAATCCAGAATGTCTTGACGAGGGTTCAATGGTGGTGTCAAGATCGGTGAATAGAGTCTCTATTATCGTCCATAAGCAATTCTTAGAGGAAGAAAGATGGGTTAGTCTAATTTGTGTTTCTAGAGAGCGTACTTATATAATGCAGGATAGGCAACAGTGTTATCTTGTGGGCCATGCTGACTTTAGCTAATGCAAGGTTGATTTTACATGATCTCATGCAGACTTTCAAAAAAGACCTCACAAATTAGAGATTCAGAAGAACATCTCATGGAATCTTGTGCTTTGACCTCGTGGAAAAGACCTTCAAATTGCTCGGTTAAAAAATTCCTCCGACCTTGCCACTTGATTATGACTTTATTGGTGGCAAATTGATGAAATCTGGCAGTCTGCCATAGGTGCATTTATTGACATTGCTGATATTGATGGTTGTCAATAATGGACATACAATCACTATCTTTGTGATGAATTTTTATCCTCATTTTTCTTTAGATTTCTTATAATTTCGATTCTGAGAGCATTTGAAATCATTTCTAGCTTCATTCCCTGATCTTATGAGTGGATGTGCCTTCAAAAATTAATCTGTTTTGATGAAAAAAGACTATAAACTGTGAACGTACAGGCAAATAGCCCACTAGAAGCTATATTTAATTTAGAGCAAACAAATAATTGGCATTTTCATCCAATAAATTGAGAATTTTGTTTACTATTCCTTTTCAGAATACAGTTAGTGCCTTTAGGAGAAGTTAGAACTAGAATTGAACGTTTAGGAATAACAAATAATAGACTATCTTAATATCCAGTGCAGTTTCATACAAGGAAGAAGTGAACAGAAGAGCATATCAATTAGTCGTGGGATTGTCAAGCCATATATATATAGACCCATTGCCAATTTAAACTTTTATGATGTTCACAACACTTTCTCCGTCACCTTCCATACGGGACTGTTTATTAAAGTCACTGCAAAATGCATTCTTTGTCATGTTATGATCTTGGCAGTTGCAAAGGTATGTGCTCTACTGGGCTTGTGTCGAAGATGAGCTAGAAAGATATGATTGTTTCTACACTAGTCTGCCTTGATGTTCGATGTGATCTTATGATCACTTTTGCACATGCACCTGCTGTGTAGGGATGCTTTTGTGAGAGTATTAATTTTATTCCTTTCAATTTACTTGTAGTTTTTCATGCCTATGGATTTTACAATAAGAGGTAACCTTTTTTTCCTCGTGTAATCATCAATTCCTGGGAAAGCAGTTTGTGTTGAGTCGTGGTTCACATGCTAAAGTGTAATGGTGTAAATGGTGTCAAAGGTAAATCACCAGTTTGCTGCCATCAAAATGTTAAGTTAAACATAAGTCATTTGTGATATGATTTCATGTGTATTTTAATAGAATAATTCGAATAAGCTGGCAGCAAACTTTGCACATTTGTTCAGCATGGAAAATATATTCTTATTACTATCATTCGTTCAACTTTTACTTATCAGAATCATCAAAAATAATTTCAGTTAATCCATATAACACTCAACAATTAGCCATAAGACTTATCAGTCCATATACACATCAAAGATTAGCCATTAAGACTTATTCACATAGACTCCAATTTCACTCTACCTAACAAGACTATGGATCAATAGCTCGTGTTGAAAGCACATATAGTTGTGCTTCGTTGCACCCAAAAGAATTTGACGCAAGTAGGGTTGCAGTCAAAGTAACTCCATTTTTGCTATAATCTCAATTGGCCAACACAACCTATTCAACAACTTTAGTCATTGGCAAGGTACTCTCTCTTTTGGGTCCATCGTATCCATGTTACTGAATCAGTTTTCTACATATCATCCTCTATATGTGAATAATATAGGTAGTTTAGTCTGTCAGAACTGGGAATGACACATACTAAGCGAGCTGCAGTAGTTCAGGTCAAGATATCAGGATGCTGGAGCAAGGGAAGCCTCGGTTTGATTACTACCACTTAATAAATCTGGTTAATGCTAATCCTACAACCAGTTGCTGTAACTGTTGCTCTACGAAATTTCAACTGCCTTCATAGTAACATTTCTGTTTTCTGTTATTTCTGTTATTTTTTAATTCGACAAGTGCTAGCAAGATGATATATAATGTAAGATCTTCAATGGAAAGATGGGACATTTTGAATTACTGAAATATATAGTCAATTATTAATCAAACTTTCTCCCCAAAGTTTTCTCTCTCTCAGTTTCACTATTATCATTCTTCCTAAATATCTGTTCAATCTTAATAGATTTCACAACAAAAATATTTAACACAGGCATAGTGCATTTTTATAATTTCAGACGATATTCTTGTAAAATTAGATTTTCTGTTTTCACTATATATGAAAAACCCTAATCACAAAATGAGTTTTTCCAGTTGTAAAAGTTTTTCACCAGTGGGCTCTTTTGAGCAGGTATATTGCTGAATCACATAAAAATCATAACCACGAATTCATAGTTATTTGAACCCGAATATGTTTTTTCTTTAATTTGTGTGTGCCCAATGGGGATTTTTAGAACACAGTATTTAATCCTAAATATCTGTGCAGCACACGTGATTTTTACCAACTAAACTTGTGAATTTCTTAGAATATTACGAGACTTCAGAACTTTTACAGTGAAAATTGTTATACTTTCAGCTTGGCTTTGTTTCCATGCTTAACAGTGTTAGCATCTTACCACCTCTAGTGACTGTTTCGTTGACATTTTGATATATCTTTCTTCCCTGGATAATCTTTTCTCTTGTTTTCAAACTGAAAGTGCATGTGCAAAATAGTGTATGTCAAAAATAGTGAGCACTTACTACTTAACTTTTACGGCCATGTAAAGGAACTTCTCTGATATTGGCGAACACTATAGCTCATAACATGATTGAGGCATCTCTTTCTGAAATCAGAACGAGATTTTTTGTCTCACTAAAGAATGGTTGATTGTCCTGCAATTTCTTTGTCTGGCACCTGTATCTATTGATACTGACGTAGTTAGAGGACCCATCACTGTCATGTGGGGTAAGAATCTACATAAAGTATAAAATATGCAAAGATAATATAAACTATTTTGATGCCGTTTTGAATTAGTGAGCCATTTCTGCTTTTACATACCTATGTCTGATGTATGTATCTCTTTCCATACTATTTGGGTTGGCTTTTTTTTTAAACTGCCTGGCATCTTTTCAGAATATCTGCATATATATATGTATATATGTATAAACAAGCAATTCTGCATGGGAAACAGGAAAAAAGCAACCATGAGAGGGCAAGGATTTTTTTTAAATATAAACTATGGTATTAAAAGCACCAAGGTGGTGCAACCCGTATACAAAGTGAGTGCAAGAAAATTGGAAGTGTGCACATGAATAGTTACTTTTAGAAAATAACGAACGTAATTAAAATTATAGATAAATATCATAATTTACTATCTATTACTTAGCATGGTTTTTGAGAGAAATAAAGAGCATAAAGGCTGTGGAAGGGAGCTATGTTGTCTGTTTCTGGGTCTTATATTTGTAATACAACACAGGAAAATTGCAACAACAATATGAGCTTAATTGTAATAGCTTTCTCTCTCTCTAATAATACTTCTTGTTTTATCCAAATAAATTTGTAACCTGTTCCCACTTATTTGCTAGCTTATTCTATTCTTTTGTTGCTCTTGCTTTGACAAATGGATGAATGACAACAAATTGAACTATTACATGGACTGTAGGTTCTTTCTGCCAAATTGGCATGACGATAATGTCTTCATTATCAGCACTAGTTACTACTCTTAACAAGTCCTTATATATAATCTTTTTTTCTTCTAATATGTGTAAATGCATCATCAGATAGCTCCAGTAACAGGCTTAGATTACTCATTAGTACAAATGGATCTCTTTCTAGACATATTAGATTTGTTCTTTTTGTCTACTGTTGCTTACTTTGGAGGTGAAAAAAGTGGGAGAGAAAACTATATTCATATACTAAAAAAAAGATCTTGCTTTTGCATTAACTTTTGGAGATAGACAAACTTCCTACATAACAGATAGGTGCCCACAATAGTCACCTTTGGCCAGATCTTTCTGCAGCACCTTTGTCTCTTTATGCAAAATAATCCTTTTTTTGTAGTTTCTTTTGTCCATTTCCTGCATATGGTAGGATTTGAAACTGAGGATATAATGAACCTGCTAAAGCCAGATGTTCCCTTTTCAACGTTGTAATTAACTTCTTGTTATTTGTTAATGCCAGTAGTCATTATACAAGCGTATTATGTTGCACAAGTTTTCACTTTTTAACTCATGCAACATGAGCCTGTGATACCTTGTTTGGTAAGAGAAGAAGGTTTGATTGATGAAATTTATTTAAGATTCAAATAATTCATTGCTATTTACGTGAACTTGAATTTTTTCAAAGCAGCTGTGGCGTGGAGCATTAACTGCACGCATGTATTTATGGAGAGATCAATAGACTGTGACCCGACTCTGCTATACGTGTCAGATAAGAGTCTAGAGGTTGCCTTTGCACTCGGGATCATGTCAATTTAAACTTTATCTCTAACCAGAAGGTAATGAGAGCAAGTTTTCATCGGACAATTGTCACATAATAATTGGATTAATAGTATTCACTACGGAATGAGCTGAATTCAGAACGTGGTGAGATAGTTTGGTCCACATTCGGTGTGGGGAAGAGCTGTCACGATCGTTCATTTGCAACTTAAAAAGTGAGTTTATTTATCAAAATTATACTGAAATACAAGCAGAAGTGTCCGGGCTCGAAATATACTAGAAGTATGAACTACTATCACATGCAGATTTGCTACCAATTACTTCTCTGTGAATTACTATTTCAGTGGTTGTATATTACTTTTCATGAACATAGAGTTGAAAACTTCAAGCCTCTGCATTTAGATTTGTTACCTTGTCAAATCAAAGTTACACGGGACTTGTTTTTTGTTTTAACCATGTTGAAGAATCTGGCAGAGAGATGTGCATGGCCCCACTATCTCACTCAATCTTTCAATTGCTAACTGAAGGACAGGCAGGGTAGCTGTGATATTTTCACTACTTCAAGACTGATTTCAAATTATCAATGATTATTTGACAGTTCATGGGCTCACCACCATGTGTGTATGTTACAGCATTCAGCTTCAATTATACTTCCTATTTAGAGTAAACCATGGGCCTGGAACCTGGAAAAGATCCTGAGAGATTTGAATGAGTACCCTTGGGTGGGAAACAGCTTAGTTTTCCCTATTTATATATGTATGTTTGTATATATATTTCATAGACTTCGTTTGTATATATAATTAACTGCTCTTGCCATTACATTGTTAAGCACAGTATGCATTATTGTAAGGTTTGACTGATCATGCCTATCTATCATGTGATAATGACTGTTCAATGCACAACCGAAAGTGTCTTACTGCATTATTGTGAATAATGGATCTGACTTGTGGTGGTGGTGATTAGCGCGAATTCCTTGCTTAATGCTGCAATTATGTTGATGTTGAATATGTTAGGAAGAGATTTTCTGTGGTTAAAAGAAGAAGAAGAAAACTAGGTTCTGTTTCGTCCATTCAAAGAAACACAAGATACAAACGGAGAAGGTAGCTTTCGCTTGTGGGGTACCAGAAGCATCTTCTTGATGATTCATGTATGTGGTTCAGAAGTTTCAAGGTCAAACCAATCTATTAACTCTATCATCATGAAATTTTAGCGTGTAGGTCATGAGCACTATACCCACACAAGATTATCCAGTGTTTTTGTGGGATTCCCTTCAATGATTGTTAACTTATCTGATTATTAAATCATTCAGGGGGTAAAAATCTGTAGAGAAAATGAACTAGGTTGCAAAAATAAAACATTGTAGAATTATTAGACCTTTCCATGTTATAATTTGTTAGCCTGAAGATCAGAATGTCAAAAATAGGTGAGATCAACTTCTGACCAAAATGGTAGTGGAGGTTACTGTTGAGCTTACCAGAGTAGTGCTAGCTACTTCACTATAAAGAGAGGTTAGAAACAACCTGAGCATATCAGAATAACATATCCTTGATTCTGTTCTCGCTCTTTCTTCAGCTAAAATCATTGAGATCATGGTATGTTTCTTCAGGCTCGTATCAACAAATTTTCAGTCAATGATTAATTTCTCGATCTTGGATCTTCTAACTTTGTTTTGAATTCTGCTGACAGGCAGAGAAGATGACTTGGTCTGTTGCTGATGCAGTAGATTACAAGGGATTCCCGGCTGACAAATCCAAAACTGGCGGTTGGGTACCTGCTGCACTTAGCTTAGGTACCATAGCCTCAACTCTTTTGTTGTTCTCAAGCTTTTTTATAACTAATGATGCTTTTGACAGGATGAAGAATCAAACAACATGACATCGTTTCTTTGGAAATCTCTGCTTATATGCACAAACAAAATTAAGAACTTATTAACCATGTCTTGAATCAAGTATTTTCTGCTGAATGCAAAAATTTTCTTTGTGCCAGGCATTGAGATATGCGAGAGGCTCTCAACAATGGGAATAGCAGTTAACCTTGTGACGTACCTGGAAGGAACAATGCATTTGGCAAGTGCAACCTCTGCCAACATTGTGACAGACTTCATGGGCACTGCTTTTCTGCTTTGTCTGCTAGGTGGCTTTCTCGCTGATTCCTTCTTAGGCAGATACAAAACAATTGCAATATTTGCTACAGTTCAAACTCTTGTGAGTGTTCTAATACTCGCCAGTTTTCTTTGTATAGCTGTGTGTATCCTAGTCAGAACTTGAGTACAGTTCTGCGCCCATTTGACAATAAAACTATAAACCAGGGGACTGGTCTGCTAGCAATATCAACCAAGCTGCCAGAGCTACGCCCACATCCTTGCCAAACTGTTGAAGTGACCAGATGCAAACAAGCTACTGGAACTCAAATGGGAGTTCTATATCTTTCCTTATATCTAATTGCATTAGGGACTGGTGGTCTAAAATCAAGTGTATCTGGTTTTGGAACTGATCAGTTTGACGAGAAAGATGAGAAGGAGAAATCCCAGATGGCCTACTTCTTCAATAGGTTCTTTTTTGTTGTTAGCACAGGGACTTTTATGGCTGTTACAGTGCTTGTTTACATACAGGATGAAGTTGGTCGGAGCTGGGGTTATGGAATTTGCTCAATATCAATGTTTGTTGCTATCTTGATATTTTTATCAGGAACTAGAAAATATAGGTACAAGAAGTCCCAGGGAAGTCCCGTTGTCCAAATTTACCAAGTTATTGTGGCTGCTCTAAGGAAGAAAAGTGTTGAATTGCCTGCAAATTCTACCATGTTATATGAGGATTTACCCGAAAACAAGAGAATCCATCACACAAATCAGTTCAGGTTTTGCTGCACAAACTTTGATCAAGTTACTGTAATTCTTCGATTTTTCCTGTCAAAGCAAATACAAATTTTCTTCTGTATGGTTCTGGTGTAGTTTCTTGGACAAGGCTTGTGTTATCACAGAAGACGATTACGGAAACAATGGATCCTTGGCTGCAAATCCTTGGAAACTTATTCCAGTCACAAGAGTAGAGGAGGTGAAAATGATGATCCGGCTTCTTCCCATTTGGGCAACAACAATCATATTTTGGACAACATATGCTCAGATGATAACTTTCTCAGTAGAACAAGCATCGACCATGGAAAGATCAGTTGGAAACTTCCAAATTCCAGCTGGTTCCCTCACTGTCTTCTTTGTTGCAGCCATATTAATCACTTTGGCCATCTATGATCGATTTGTTATGCCACTCTGGAAAAAGTGGAAAGGCAAACCAGGTAAAGAATGAAAAGTTATTATGTAGACCTCGACCTTTGATACCATCCCAGTTTTTTATCAGAAGATCATGTGTAGTTTAGTGATAAAAAACCAAGGTGGTCACAGTTAGTTTTCTGACAAAAATCTAGAATAATTCATAAAATTTCAAGAGTGAACCCGTTCACTTGTACACCAGCATTAGAGAAGCCATTTCAAACTCATATTTTTTCTTTTTGACAAGACAAATAAATAGTTCTATATATGTTGGTCATCTATAGGGTTTTTATGCAACATATTCAATAATTTTACCAAGAAATAGTATTAGTAGCAGATTACTAGGATTTTAAATTATGTGGATTTGCCACAGGATTCAGCAACCTGCAAAGGATAGCCATTGGCCTTTTCCTGTCAGCCATGGGAATGACAGCTGCAGCAATAGCAGAAATAAGACGACTCTCAGTGGCAAAAACCTTCGGCCTCAACACCACCACCACCACCACCACCACAAAACCTCTCCCCATCACTGTCTTCCTCTTGATCCCACAATTCTTCCTCGTGGGAGCTGGAGAAGCCTTCATCTACACTGGCCAGCTCGATTTCTTCATCACTCAATCACCAAAGGGCATGAAAACAATGAGCACAGGCCTTTTCCTCACAACTCTATCCCTTGGATTCTTCTTTAGCAGTCTGTTAGTCTCCGTCGTCAAGGCTGTAACTGGGAACGGTAACAGGCAGGGATGGGTTGGTGAGAACATCAACAATGGCAGACTGGATTATTTCTATGGACTTTTAGCTGCTTTAAGCTTCATTAACTTCGGATTGTTTGTGTTATGTGCTTACTGGTACAAGCGAAGAACTGATAAAAATGTTGAGGACATGAAGATCATTGTAGTTGATGATGAAAACAAAGGAAATAGCAGTTTATGATAGTATGATATATGGGATGCCTTGCCTGTTAATTCATCTTTTGTTCATCAACTTTTGCAAGTGATTAAGTGTGGTCTCTGGGTTTTTTGTTTGGCTTTCAGATTGTAAGCGTAAATGTTTCCGAGTGTATTTATATAAAAAAAAAAAAAAAAAAAAAGAAAGAAAAGTGTACCCGAGTGCATGATTGAGTATAGTTCGGACATTTGTCTAATTGTTTTTTGATTGAGAATTTCACAGACAAAGAACAGAAAAAGAATATATATATTTAATAATAATATTATTATTAATTTAATTAATTAGTCAAAATTATTATTTTAAATTATTTTTTAAAATTAAATATTTTTAAATTATTTTAATTATTTCTGTGAAAAAAATAAAAGGAAAAATAAATGTTAAACTTTAAAAATTAATTTAATAATTTACTAGTAATATTATAATGCATCTGACTTTTGAATAAGATAGTATCTCTGTATATCCACAAGTAGAACCTTGAAGGTTGGACATTTATATTATGTTGTTATAATAATAAAAATATTGTATTTATATATATATATGTATATGTATATGTATATACTCTTAGTTGTTGTTGTATGTTGGAACTTTTTTCTTGGGCTGGTTTGCAGATATTTTTATATACAGTATTAGGGTACACTACAAAGTATAAAAAGAAGCCCAAAAGTTTTTGAAGTCCATAAAATTAATCATAAAATTAATTATGATTAAGTGTACCTTAAAAATCTAAATCTTAGTAAATAATTAAAATAATAACTTATAATAAAGTGTTTTGATTAAAATCATAGAAGAAGTGAAATGAGCTTTATAACATGATTTATAAGTAAAATAAAATTAAGTATGAATTAAACACCCCCTCAGAATCAAGATTATAAATAAATCACCATCATAAATTAAATCAAAATCTATTTGATTCTAGTGGTCACTTCTCACCCGTTTGATTCGCTGGGATCTTAGTGCCATAAATTTCCTTCAATACTAATCTTTTTAGCTAATAATTAAACACAGTAAGTAAATTAGAATCAATATTATAAATAAATATCTCTTAATCAAAACAAAACCAACAATTTTTAACAAATTTTAATTCATGATTGAAACCTAAATTTTGATTATCATCTGTTATAAAATTTAATATATATAATGTTGTATTGAGAAAAACGATGAAAATTAACAAATTTTACTCTTAATTAAGTTGAAAATATATAATCCAGATGTTATAATTTTTTCTTTTTGAGTAACAATTGTATACCGTATGTTTGACTAAGTATAAGAATCTAAAAAGATCATAAAGTTGTAATTAATATGTTTAGTTTTGAAATTGACAATTTGGATTTGAGTAAACATCAATAATTGATAAAGACAAGATCTTCGATCGGACAGGACAAACAAGTGTTCGTGTCATTAAAAGCTAATGGCTTTTGATTTGAGTTTCGATCAAACTACTAACTAGTTTGATTTCTTTCTTGTTTTGGTGAGTTGACATTTAGAGCACTTCTTAGTTTAGATTTTAGATTTTAGATTTTAGATTTTAAATTTTAAATTTTAGTTCAGAATTTTCTATATTTTAAATTTTATAAAAATAAAGTTATATTAATCTTTTATGATAATAAAATTTTAAAATCTCAATAATTTATTAAGAAACTAAATTTGGTTAGTATATCTATATGAATATTATAACAAGTTAATAAACTGAGTTCTAATTTTATTTAATTAAATATTATAAATAACTCATCCGTACAATAAATTACATTGTACTTAATGGCATGTGACACTACCAATTATCACAACAGTATTATACACTCCCATGTGATATACAACATTCTCCACTGCTACAACAAAAATATCAATCCAAAATTCAACCCATTGACAGCATGAAAATCAAGAATCACATCTCTTTTTATCTAGTTAGATTGAATTAGTGAATCATGACATGATTATCAAATGAATCATGACGCGATTACTAAGGGAGTCAGTTTTAATCAAAGGTCTGATCCCTAGCCAATGAGAATCCAAGCAGAACCTCGATTGGCAGGGACAAATTGCAATCAGTAAAAATGAGCTTCAGAATCGAACAGTTCGAAGGTATTTGAGCCATTAAACTTCCAGCAGTAATTTCAATAGGGGGATTACAGGAACTCTAATTTCCATCCACCTACTAATAAATTTTCTTTCCTACCGCAATCAGTGAAAGATTTCAAATTGGTCCTGCTAACATAACTTCCACCATCCAATGTTCCTATTCACCTAATTTCAACTCTCAAGGGCAAGAAATAGCAAATATCTAAGTATCTACGAGAAATGAAAACTTACCCATCAGCAAGTGGCTACAGGATGAAACACAAGATGGGATAGCTATGGGAATTCATATATTCAGTACTCGACCACCATGTTTGGATTACAATCAAAGCTTGGCCGGTTTGGATTAGACTTGATTAGAAAATCCTCTCTCGTATATGAGATGAGATGTAGACTATAGCAGTCAGGTACCAAAATAGCTATTTTTCGTTTGGGAAACCAAAGCAGGGCCTGTATTCAAATAAGAACAAGTATTCTTCTTCCTCCCAGGTTCTTTTGAAATCAAGCTACAAATTTGATTACTAGGGACATCTAGGAACATGCTGTTACTTGGGATATCTAGGAACATGCTAGACTCATCATTTGTATGGTCTCCTGGGTAATATTGAGTATTAAATATATGAGATTCACACAAGTTCAATTCCCCAGCTCAAAGCCATGACTTATTAATCAAATTCATAAGAGCCTTGGCTTCAATGCCCCAACTCTCCCCCTGCAGAGATTTGGTACGTCTTCAATCTCAAGAAAAATCTACAGATTTCAGGAGGAACCATGCCTCTATGGTAATTTTCAATATTACAGTAATTTAGTCACTTAATATACTAATAATCTAGTATCGTTTAGTTATCTAACTACTAAACAAATGTTACCAAATTACTATGAAATGCCAGAAGCTTTTGGGAGATATATGCCTCCAAGGTGTCATCCCCCCTCTCTCCCCCTCCCCCACAAAGAAAGAAGGAAAATGGAAACCCAACAGCTATTGTTACACGACTGAACTATTGTTTCCTAACCTAAACTAACAGGCAGCGCTCTCAATTTACCTGCAATAACGTTCAAAATCTACTAGCCGCAAATAAAAATTATTTCACATTTCAAACATATTATGATGATCCTTACTCTTACAATAACAAGCCAACAAATTCAGCTCAAAAAACTCAATCAAGTTTGTAACAAAAACAAGCGAATTCAACATTGATGAAGAACAAAATATGGTGAAAGTCGAGTATATAAATAAATGGTAATGGTCAAACAATAAGATAGGAACATGTATAAATAAATAAGATTATAACTCCATCAATGTAACAAGTACCTACACCAACATAATCAATATAAAAATATGAAAAAGAAACAGGAAAATAAATTAAAGAAGTGAAAAGAAAAAGAAACTTAAAACAAAATACAGGGCCTTTGAGATTCTTACTCTACCAGCAACATACATTGATCGGCACAAGAAGCAACCAGAATTTGATCTCAAGCCTTCTAATGTCACTGTGAACAGCCACCATAGCTAGCATATGAAAGGAAACCTAAAGAAAACGTACCAAAAACCCAAATGCATCCAAGAGAAAGCAAAAGAAAACTCCAAGTTTTCTTTCTGTTGTTTCAAGCATACAAAACCTTTCTCTGTCTTCCTCCGCATCCTCCTAACTATACCCTTCTGCTCTTATTACTATCATCTTTCCTCCATTAATTTCCGAAGCTAACTCTCAAAATCAGTTCTGTGATTCGCTTCTCTTGCCGACATTTTCTCCTTCCCTCTCCTCCAACAGCCTGCCGGCCTCCTCATCGGCTTGTTGAGCCTTCTTCTGCGCCTCCTTGGCCTTCAGAGCCTGCAGTTTCGAGTGATTGTAATACGCAACACCCAAGAACGCAAGCCCGTACCCGAATAGGTTCACGGGTGTCACGGTATCCTTAATGACTGACCATGAGAAAGCAATCAACAACCAGTCCTTGACAACACCGGCCACGTTCATGGTCAGTGCAGAGGTTTTTCCGACCAGCAGGAAAACAGCGAGATTCAATGCGAATGCACAGAGAGAATTGGTTCCAAAAATCACGAAATCGAAATGCATACTGGAAGATTCCCTGAGTACCGGGAGCTCGACAAAAATCCATGGCACAAACAGGAAAACCAAGCAACAGGGCGCAACGTAATACAACGAAGTAATGGGATTCAATGTGATACCCTTTGAGGCGAGCAAGATTTGGATCATTACCAGACGTGTAGCCTCAAAAGCGACAGCACCCAGTTGCAGGATCACGCCCCAGCTGTCAAATCTGGCCTCCCCGTATGCGGCAATTGCGACGCCTACGGAGATCGAGAGCATATTAGCCATAGTTTCGCTCTTGAAACCCTCCTTCTTGAAAAGAACTCCGATCGAGTAGACGGCAACGGGCATCAGGGCCTTGAGCATCTGAATAAATGATACCGACAGGTAAATGTAAGCGGAATTGGAAAGCCAGAGCGAGAGCGAGTAGAGAGCGCCAATGGGGACGACTGATTTAAGATACATCTCGCGACTCATGGAAACTGGCTCGACGAATTTGAAGACCTTGATGAGGAGGAAAGCGAGCGTGGCGCAGAAGGACATGTGGATCATGGTTAGGGAGATAGGAAACGGCCAGTTATACATCTTCTTATCGAGGATGTACTTGTTGTAGACGATGACGGTGAAGCTGAGGAAGATCCAGATGGCGACATAGGTGTAGGAGAGGAGGATCTTCTTGATCACGCTCTCGCTGATTGAGCCGCCCTTGCCCATTTTCTGTGGGAGAGGGAAACTATACAGATGGTGGAGGAAGGTGGAGAATGCGGTGGGCGCAGGATACGCAGGAGGAGGTGCAGGATAAAGGAAGAAGAAGGCGTCAGATTTAGCGAGTGAGAAAAGGAGAGAGGGTTGGTTTAATGTAGTGTAGGGATGATACGGCGTGTAGCGTGTAACGTGTAGAGGGGTACTAAATATTATGTTTCTGTTTTTCTGTTTTGTTAATTTTCTTTTTTTTTTTTAACTTAACGTTTTAATTGTATATATATATATATATATATAATTTATTAGGGTCAAAA